CAACCATCGCGCCACTCGGCCGGCCCTCACCAATAATTCTTGAAGCCTGGCCCACACTTTTTATATAGTCATCAGAGCTCCAGGCACACTTAACCATATTCAAAAATTTGTATTAATAGTATTGCTGTTGCTGCAACAATTGTCAAACTACCTGTCTGTCTGTCTTGATTCATTTCAGAGGACTACTGCTTCTGCTGATGAGACCTGCCGGCCTCATCCAATAATCTCTGCTACCCATTGTTTTGCCTCTTGCCTTTTCCTTAGGATTTGGCTACTTTCAGTTTTCAAAAAAGGCTGTACGTTCCCTGGCCCTCTTTCTATGCTTCCACTACTTTTAACAAGGCAAATTAGTGGCTGTTATTCTTGCGTTCAGTAAATGCTAGGCCCTGAACTAGATGCCTAACACGAGGGAGGTAATATGAATCTTATGATTATGTATTGAAAAAGACAGAGAGGTTAGTAGCTTACCCAAAGTCTAAGCAGTAGAGTTAAAGAAGAGCCAGAATTTGAATTTAACTCAGGTCAGTCTAAATGTAGCTAGATACCTTCTAGAACAGCAGTTGGAAAACTATAGCCCATAATTCAAATCCTGCCTATTGCCTGTTTTCGTAAATGAAGTTTCACTAGAACACAGCCATGCTCACTCATTTACTTACTGTCCATGACTGTTTCACACTACTGTGGTCAGGCTCAGTAATTGTAGCAGAGATCTTATAGCTGTCAGAGTCTAACGTACTTATTACAATGGCCCTTTACTGAACAAGTTTGCCAACCTCTGTTCTAAAAGTAAAGGGTCCCTAGGGCCAAAAATACACATACCACTTGTGACCATCTTATATTGCTATCTTTTCCCAAAATTGCCTTAATAAGTGTATTTAGGTATAACTTATAATAGGGCTTGAAAGGCAAATCATTTTATTTTTAGACAAATTGTCTAAGTCCAGTCAACACTGCTTTGAGCTTTTCCTACACGCAGGCATTGCATTCAGCCAAGATGGTGTCTGCCACCAAGAGACTGATAATCTAACAGAGGAATCAGGTTAGAGGTTGGAGATATTAGGGAAAGCTTTCAGGAGATGAGTTTGAACTAAATTTCAAAACAAATTTTATTAAGGGGAGTATAGAGCGGGATTTGAAAAAGGAACAGACGTGTGGACAGTAGAGGGTAAGAAGAATTAGTAATGGGGTGTGGTGTGTGATGAGGTGAGATGTACAGGCTGGTATCAAATTATGAGGACTGCAAAAGCTTGCTCCAGATGTATGCATGTATACTTGTGTGTATGTATGTTTGTATATGTGAACTGATTTATAGTAAAGCAAAATGGATCAAGGACCTGTAAGACTATCAATCTAAAGAATGATTGATACTTGCTGCAATAATGTGTGTAGTTTGTAAATAAAAAGTAATCAAACTTTTAAAAACACTGCATTAGATAGCATCAATAAATAATATACATATACAAGTGTTTACCACAGCATTATTTATAACAAACAACTTGAATGCCTATCAATAGGGAAATGAGTGGAATAAGTTAAGGTATGTTCACACTATGGAATATGATACAATTATTAAAAATAATTCATTGAATCCATTTGCATTGAAATGGCAAATTATCCATGACATATTTTTAAATAAATAAAACTACTGGGCTGTTGGAAAAGTCATGATGTATGTTTGTGACAGATGGCACTAGTTCATTTTTGGAAGTACTAGAGTCATTTGCATCTATATTATTGCTATGTCCTTTGATAGCTGACAGTTCTAGCTTCATTCTAAAATAAAAAATGAGTGATTTGGTTGAGTTTTGGAGATTTTACA